CCTGGCAGTCAGGTAATTGAAACTAAAATTGCAAGACTTATGAGAAGAACTGTGGAGGATGCTTTAGAGTATGTTTAAAAGGCATATTTCTTTCAGATTTACCTGAATGAAGGCACTGCATTTGGATTGAATTCCCATAAGTGTTTACAATAATACTACTTTGTTTGAGATCTGATATAGCTGAAAGAAATGCTTCCTTTTTAATTTTTTTTATTAGAAGTGTTGTACAAGACTAGAGGAGCTGTGATTGCTAGAGGTAACTGACTACTTTTGTAATGGAAGAAGCTGCTGTCTCTCCAAAGTATAATACAAAATACTATTATTTGTATATAATACAAAATGTTTCCAAGTGTTTGGTGGTATAAAACACCATGCAGGATTTTACTGTCCTTAAAACCTGCAGTACTTGGTAGACAGTCTGTACCATGCAGATATGTGGGTTATCTCTCATTCTTTCTAGTCTTGTGAGAATACATACAAAGGATAAAGCCTCAGGTAATACAATTGTCCTTTTAAGCTTAAAGGGTAAATGGATGATCTTGATATTAAAGTGTAGTATTTGGAGCTGCAGACGTCATCTGTTTGTGATAGTGCCAAAATACTGTGCAGCCAACCTTTGTGTTTCCAGGGTAATCAAGAGATTGGTCAGGAGTATAAAGGCAAGGATATAGGTAATACGTAAATGAGGCTGTAAGAATGTTCTGTGGAAATGATCAAAGACACGACTTGAAGAGGAGACTGCAGCATGAATGGTGTGCCTCATGTGAGATGATGGCAGTGGGGGATGACCATGTCTTGCCACACTGCCCATCACATTACAGCTCGTGGCTCTGGGTGCTGCCACTGCAAATCTCTGGTCCACCAAACTCAGGCATTTCTATTTTTCTCGGAAACTTCTCAAACAAGAATTCTTGCAGTCCTCCCTTGTCATGTCCTCTGCTCTCTCCTGTACCTGAGGATGGGGTCAGTGGTTCCTGTGAGGGATAATTCTTTTTTTTTTATGTACTCTTCTCTGCTAGCAATCAAAACAGAAACAAAAGGAAAAAAGGAAAATAACTGGGAAAAACAGGGGTTAATACTGTAAAGTCTGTGGGTGCAAACAGGATTTTGTTAAAAGTGAAATGAGATTGGGTGGAGGTAGATAAAAAGAAATCTGAAATAATTGTTTTGTAGAATATGGCCTTTCCACATAGGCAGAAATCTTTCTCTTCACTTCAGTCTGAAGATAGTCAAAAAGAGAATCTCATCTCTTAATTAGAAAGAAAAATACTCATCAAACACATCTCATCACTGGAAAGCTAATGATTCACAGCTGCTAGTCTGAAAGGGCAGGCTTTTTTTCTGAACAGTAGGAAGCGTTAATCATTTTGGATGAGATTTCCTTTTAAAATACACTGTAGTTTTCAAAAGAATAGGATATTCAATATCCTAACTTAAATTATTTTTTGAAGTGTTGTACACCAGGGATAGTGTCATGTGTCTCCCTGAATGATCATTTAATGCAAGTGTCGCTCACTAAGAGTATCAGCTGATGTGATGTTGTAAATGGCCAGTTCATGCCTGTGACTCTGAAAATCTTGATCTCATGGGGGAGAAGAAAAAGTCCTTTCTTATATTCTTCTGTGTAGGAAATGGCAGCTATATTAAACTGTAACCTTTGAGACTCCCACTCCTCTCTTAAAATAGTTAGCTTGCTTCAGTAGTGATGAGGATCCTTTTTTTAGACAGAGTTAGAGCCATTATTTCCTTAGAAGATATCATGCCAGATACAGTCCACGTTCCAGTGGATGCTTTATAGGCATGGGCAACTCGTAGAACTGTCCCTTTGTGCTTGTTCCTTAGCTTTTCTGGTTTGGGGGTTTTTTTGGTTAGTTGTTTCTTTTTGTTTGCTTTTGGAGGCTTTGTATGTTTGTTTTGGTTTTGGTTGTTTATTTGTTTCTGGCCTATACTTGTTTAAGGGATGGATACATAGGTTTACTTCTCCATCATGCATGAAGGTTTCTACATACCACTTCCCTTCTTCTCTTTCACCCCAGCTATCAGGCCTTTTATGTGTAAGAACCAAATCCCTGAGTTTTCTTGATGTTCTGCACCAGATTTTGGGTTTGCTCATGTTTACTTAAAGGTTTTGTCTGATACCGGAAATCTGCTTGTTTTCTCCATTTGCATTTCATGAGTGCATTTCTTGTCTGGGAAGGATAACGAGACCATTTGTTTTGCAATGGCATCACTGTGCAGGTCTCACACAGAACGCATCTCATTTTTGTTGCACTGTTTTACTAGTGCCTGGCTGAGACAGGTGCCTAAAAGGAGGAACTGGTAAAAATTCAGCTGGACTAGATGGAAATTAAGGTGGCAGATCAGGGAAATCATCTTCAGGAGACGGCAGGTGTAATATTCATGCTTTTGAAAGGTATATCCATACAAGTTTTAAAGTGGTAATATCTTAATATAATTTTTTACTGGCCCTCAGAGTATAGTACTATAAGGAATTAATACCATTAAAGATCATTTGGCACTTAGAAGCTTCCAGTGAGAAGTGCTTGGATGAGAATTCATTGATATTCTGGAGTATAGGGTACATGATGACCGTGTTCCTCATTCTCCTGTCAGATCCATATTTCCTGAGACTGTGTAAGTTGTTAGCTTCTTTTCTCTCTGGAGATGGGGATTGAATAGTACTTCATTTTCTTTCCATCTTTTTAACCAAAGTTCAGCTTGGACCGTAAGAAAGACTATGCATTGCCATTTATCATCAGGTAATCTCTAGTGTTTGCTTTTCTAATACTTGGTACTGTTTGCTGGCTTCCAGAGCACCCTTTGGTGTGCATACATTATTAATTCAGGGCATTTCTGGGGTTGAAGCATGCAATATTTTTTGCTTTTCTTTTGAGACATGAAATCTGTTATAAGTTTGCTACATCAAATTTACCACTTTTCTGTAGATAGCAAGCTCATAGAAGAGCTCTTGAATTCCATGGGCTCATTTGCTTTTTCATTACCAGTTCTAACAGATTTCCTTTTAAACTAAACAACCTAAAAAAGGCATTTTTCTTTCAAATGAAATACTGTTAGAAGTGCCAATATACTCTTGTGAGTCATACACACTGTATGTTCAGTTCTTTTCAGTATTTATCATGTTTGTCTTGCAGTTTCATAGGACTTTCATATACGTAGCACTCAGTGGTAGAAAGTACAGGGGTGAGGTAAATTAGCTGATCTTGAGAGAGAAGATTACCTAAGATATAGGTTTTTTTTTCTTCTATGCAGCAGCTTAAGTTTGATAAGAGCATTTTGTTTGTTTTAATTCCAAACAAAAAACCAGCAGAAGACGAGTGAAATCCCAATTTTATTCTTATTCAGCTTTATATGCATCCTGTGACTGATTTGGGAAAATGACCCACGTTTTAGTTAATCTGAAAAAAAAGGTAGTGCTTTAGGTTTGCAAGTTTTGTGACACTACAGCCTCCTTCATTTTAGTAGGTATTAAAAAATACAAATATTCAAAAGCTTAACTATTTGGATGGAGAAGGCTTATTAAGATTTAAGGATGTTTATCCAGCTGTGGTACATAGTGTGATTTGCTCTGACTTTTTTTTTTTTATGGGAAGAAAACAAACCTTAGTAATGACTACAGCTGGGTTTTAAGCTGTAGGGGGGGAGGTGTTCATAGGAAATTGGAGATAAAAATTGTTTTTGTTTGACCCTATCCAAGTGAAATTATTTTTAGTTCTTTCCTGGAAACCATGAATTTTGTAGCAGCATCAGTAGAGGACAGTATCTAGACAGCAGTGTATGGAGCTAGTAGTGCAGATGGGTTTCTCCTGGTGTGCAATCCCTGTTTGGGCCCAATACTAAAGAGCAACCCAAGTTATTTAGGTGCACATCTCTGGGAGATATAACCCAATCAGATTTCTGGCAGCCCCTAGTCGTGGAGCACTTGAACTGTTTTGGGAAAACACTGCAGCAAATTAAAGCTTTCAGAGGGGTGGACTTATGTGACTTCTCATCATTTTTTTAAATCCCATTTTTTATGAGTCTGTGGTCATTTCAGTTTTGCTATGCTTTCATTAAAATGGTTGTACACTTTCAACTTTTTCTGTGATTTTTTTACTAGTTTTCCATGCAAAAGATTTTTTCAGATCGATACTTCTGCTTGTTTGTGTGCCATTACTATGCCATGACCATGTTCTTTCTTCTAAACAGTAAATTAATTTTTATTCACTCCTGTGCCAACTTTGCACTGCTACAGGATTGTTTCAAAGCTAAAACCAGATTCACTGGCATGTTGAGGTCTTCTTTAAATTAATCACATTCCTGTGACCTACAAGAAAGATGGAGAGGGATATTTTATGAGGGTATGTAGTGATAGAACAAGGAGTAATGGCTTTAAACTGAAAGAGGGTAGGTTTAAATTAGTTACAAGTTATAAGTTATTAATTATTAGTTATAATTCTTTACTGTAAGGGTGGTGAGACACTGGAACAGGTTGCTCAGAGAAATTGTGGTTGTCCCATCCTTGGAAGTGTTCAAGGCCAGGTTGGATGAGGCCCTGACCAGCCTGGTGTGATGGAGCGTTTCCCTGCCTATGTCAGGGAGTTTGGATCTGGGTGATCTTTAAGGTCCCTTTCAACCCAAGCTATTCTGTGGTCCTGTGATTCGTGAAAATAACTAATTTTCTGAGGATGTAATCTTATTTTTATGCTGTTTTGCATTTTTTTGTCCACAAAAGCATTGTTTTATGAGAGAACAATTAATATTCTTCTTCGACCATACTACATAATTTTTTCTTTTCCAAGAATTAAGGTAGGAAGCAATGGGAAGTGTAGCAGTTGTTTCATGCAGGTAAGTGTCAAGTCAGCAAAGTGGTTAAACAACTTTCCTGTTTGAGGAGAGGTGGGTTTTTTTTAGAATTGTTTTAATTTATTGGTTTTAACTGTGCGAAAGAGTTTAATGTAATGCTGATCTGAATCACTTTTTTTTCCTGCTCTGTCTTCTAGCTTTTTCTTTTTGTGGTCTGGAACTTTGAGCTCTACATGATACCACTGGCTTTGTTGTTGCTGCTGGCATGGAACTACTTCTTGATCGTATCAGGGAAAGATAATAGGCAACATAATACAGTAAGTCTTCTCTACTTCAAGGGCGTACATGTCCTTTTCTTTTTTTAGCTGGGCAAAATTTTTAAACAGAATTTAAATATTACATCTTTTTGAGGATCGTTTGAAACAAGACAGTTTCAGACTGGAATGTATGCAGCTTTTCTAGCAAACTTTTTTGCCTTAAGAATTGTTGAACCATGAAAGAGGTAGCCCAGGAAAGTGCAGTAGCTGTTAGAAGTTTTCAGGACCTGGCGGGGTAGAGCTCTGAGGAACCTGGTCTGACCTCATGGCTGAGCCTGCTTTAAGCAGGGGTTTGGAGATCTCTTCCAGCCTGAGTGATCCCCTAATGTCTAGCAACTGCAATTACTAGTGACCAGAGGAACCCACACAGCCCTAATTCCAGCACTGTTGTTACCTGTCTACATCATTGAGACTATTGTGCTTTCAAGGGTCATCTAAAATTAAGGGTGGGATTGATAGAGGTATTTCCTAATCCCAGGTGTTGTTACCTGTATGGAAAAAAGCCTAAGATCAAGATTTAAAAGATACAATACTTAAAATACAGCTGCTAGTCTCCCGTTGCCTGCAATACTTAAGGCTTTTCAACCTGAAGATTTCTTAGTAACCAAAATAAGAAAAGAGAGATTTCACTTGTGAACTGTAATACACCTGATTTCTCTCTGAAATACCACCTGCCTGTGAAGATTAATTGGGTTATGTAACTTTTCTAATGAAGCTAGTGATGGACTCTCTGTGAGAACACTAAATGATGCTCAAAACTGTTCCTCCTGCTGAGAGTGCTTCTGACCAAGCTATATATTAAGCAACTATGTAGATCCCAAATCTCTGATATCTGTGCCATTAATGACTGCTTTTTCTTTATGTTTATCACAAGTAAGTCGGGACCTTGGTTTTAATGATTTGAGTTTGGTTATCCTCATGTTGAGCATCTGGCTTTTATGAAGTCTTCTGCAGAGTTATTGGATACCTTTCTAATTAACTCATGATCTTCAGTAATATCTTGAGTCCTTAGCTCAGGTCATTAGCACAGTGTCATTAGAATAGTGGTAATTTAAATATTTCTGTTTTCCTATGCAGAGTGTAAATATTAAGTAAATTAATTCAGTTTCCTAGTGGTTAGAGGATGCTTCAGCATTCACATGATCTGACTTCTGTTCCCAACTCTCAAGATTCCTTGTAGGCCTCAGTAAAATCATTGACTGCTTTCTGAGGAGTATCATCTGTCTCTAAAAGTTACTCTGAAATCCAAAAGCTAATTATAAAGATAAATGTATTTGTGAACTTCACTTAATTAACATTAGACAAGCATAGTTAAAAATTGAGTATAGTCGTCTAAGTTTTATTTGGCTCCCCGCCAAGTCCCCAGACCCAGCACAAAAACATCCATCAAAGAGCAAAGAAAAAAAACTATGAAAAATCCAGACTAGCCAAACTATATTAAAATAAATGTATTTATGTATATTACAGTTATATACAGTTGAAATACTATATACAATCCCAAAAGGGAAAGAGAAAGGAAGGGGAAGGGAAAAAACCAAAAAAACCAAAACAGATATACACAATCAAAAAACAAAAAAACCTCAGGATCTAGCAAACTAAAGAATTAGCAAAAGAATATCTTACTACTTTCCTTGGGATAGCACAGTCGCCCAAATGCCACCACCACGCTACCGGACTCCGGATCAGCAGGAACAACAGGCCCCGTAGGCCCAACCAGGCCCCAGCTCCCCCACAGAAGCGAGACCGGCTGCGGGGAATCTGCTGTCTCCAAACCTCGCTGGAAGGGAAGAGAGGAAGAGGCTTCTCTCTCCGTCTGTTTATATGTTTGGATTACATAAAGGAGTAGGATGGAATACTTCCTTCCTTCCTTCCTTCCTGGTGACCGGGAAGGAAGGCCTAAACTCAAAACCATTACAATAGTTTGTACTTTTTTAATGTCTATGGAACATACTTAAATTTGGGACCATCAAAAGTAGCTTGGAAAAGTTGGTTTCCATTACAGTATCCTATGAGAAAGCAACTGGCAGTTGTCTCTTCAGTTTGGGCTCTAGGAACCACACTCTTCTGCAGGTCAATGATTAGTTATCAGAGTTTCTGTCTGGATATGGCAGAAAGACCAGCTTTAACTCATCCTTGTTTGACCATCTCTATAGACAAGGTATCATTTGCTATCTCCTCTTGGGCATCAGTTTTTTTGAAGCAGTTTGAAATTTATTTCCTTGTGGAATAATTTACCTGCCAAACAAGGGTATGGGTTACTCTGTCATAGAATGAACCTATGCTTCCTGTTTGAGTGCAAGTATGATTATTTTGTCATTTATTCTGACTCCTAATAAGTTGTATGTGCGAGTCCTTTCTTGAATTCAAGGTGTACTGAGATTGGGGCAAGGGGGAGTCCCAAGTGTATTTACTAGTAGGAGATAAGTGTATTGGAATGCCCAACAGAGAGGTGAAACAGCATATTAGGCATTGTTGCCTTCATAGATTCAGGTGGACTCTTTGTAGGATTGATGAACATTGTGGTTTTAGTCCAACACTGACACCATCTTCAAAAAGAACTATTAGATTCCCTATCTTTCATACATTTAGATCAAGATGAGTTGTGTTTCTGAAGGATATGCTTTCATGAAATAGAAATTCTTGCATTAAACTTTGGTGTAAGCAACTGTAGATAGATATAGATTTAATGGATGGTTCTCTAAATGAATCTGTGAGAATTCAGAACTGAACTAAAACAATGAGCTTCATGTGGTAGGTATAAAAAAATCAGATTTAAATATTTCCTACCACTATTAAGTGAGGGAAAACTATCACTAGAATGGAATTCCTAATGCCTTCCTCTGAATTTTTTGGTTTTGCCTGAAGTATACCCAGCTTCTTTCTCCAAGGATCCTTGTTCTTCCTTATAATCATACTACTGGGGGTCAAAAACTAAGTGATCCCAGATATGTGTAGAAAACTGAAATGCTTTATTGAACACGCGCTTTGCAATATAAGGGTCTTGGGGGCGGGACATGTTAATGAGGAGGACGAGCTATGTTAATTTGGGAATTACACAAGTTTTTACTACCGTCGCCAAATGGGTTAATATTTCCCTCAACCAGGATTACATAGGGAGAAAGGGATTAAAGGGCCTAGGCATGGTCTGATACAATAATTTCAAAAGTCCTTACTTATTTTTGCTGCAGGAGCCAGGCTAAATCCATAAGGTCGACTCTTTAACAAGTCTTGTGAAAAGGATTCTTGTCAGCCACTGTTGCCCAAGGTTTATGGCTCTTTTCTGCAGATATTATATTTTGGGATCCTACACATACTCCTTAATATCTGACCTCACAAAATAATTTATTTTCAGCACAACTGCTGTTCCACTATTAAACCATAATTACCTAAACATACAAAACTAGAAGTGAGTGAATCCTACTTGTTTGGTTTTATTTTCTTCCCCTGCCTTTTTTCCATCATCTTTTTCACATCCTCTGTGGGAGAATTATCAACCATTGCCATGTTTCTGTCCCCACCGCCTGCTGCTTCTTGTCATCTGCTCTGGATCTGTGTGGTGGGGAGCAGCATGGAAGTACCACCCCTACACATTGCCAGCTCTTTGCCTATAGAAGGTGCAGAGTACAGAGCATGACATGGTGACAGACTGGAAACTAACAGAAAATGTGCCGGGGTTTAAAGCTTATTTTCAGTATTTTTAAGAATCTACTTAATATTTTGATGATTCCAAATATCTTGTACAAAAAAACTCCCTCACCTTTGTAGCTTGGAGAAAACACCAGTACTGCTGTCTGGTATCTGGAGTCTTTTCCTACTTCTAAGCAAAATTCATAGTCAGAACTGCATTAAGTTAATGGAGGGAAAAAATTCTTTTTTAATTTACTCCTGCATTACTACTTCAGGCTGCGTTTTGTGTGTTCTGACTGCCTACTGGAGCTGTCTAACTTAAAGAATAGTCAAATAATCCCTCAGAATGTTCCTTCTCTCCAGCTCTTCATGGCTATGGATCATTTTTACCCTGTGTATGTAGGCCTGGATGCTACAATTAGGACAAACCGTGACAGTCTCTCAGGTGTTGGGCTATAATGCTTAACAGCTGTAACAGGTACACTAGATCTCCTCTGATAACAGATTCTTGTTCTTCCATGCAAATTCTTGCTCTTCCATGACCAGATAGGGAGCAGACAGGGACGCCAGATCATCTTCTCTTGCATACTGTCATTGAGGAGGAAGGGCTAGAAGAGAACTGGACAGATCTGGGAGGACAACAACCACTTGCAAAGCTTTTACTGACAGCAGGGACTTGGTTTTTACAACTGCGGGATCCTCCTTGAGGATTGAGAACTGCTAGGAAGAGATCTACCTCACCACTTGGGGCAAAATCTTCTTTCTCAGATGGTTGTCCAACCTAATGAGTAGAGCATTAAACTAAAAATAAAGGGAGAGAGTGATGATGACCTACAGTCAAATGAGGAATCACAGAATAGATTGATTTGGAAGGGACCTTCAGAGGGACACCTTCACCAGACTAGGTTGTTCAAAGTCTTGTCCAACCTGGCCTTGAACTCTGCCAGAGATGAGGCATTCAGAGCTTCTCTGGTCAACCTGTGCCAGTGCCTTACCACCCTCACAGTAAAGAATTTCTTTCCAATATCTAATCTGCCTTCTGTCAGTTTGAAGCTATTATCCCTTGTACTATCAAAAAAGTGGTAGTCTGAGTTGGCAAGCAAAGGGTGTGGGATGAATGGACAGGAGAACCCTCAAAACCAACCCAACAGAACAGAAGGTCTCCACTGCAGGTGTGGGCACACAAATGCCTCTGGAAGAGGCTCTCACGCCCTCCCTGAGAACCCAGCATACCAGAGATCTCTCCCTGAAGTGCCTGTACATTGGTGTGCACAGCATAGGAACCAGTAGGAGTTAGGGGTCCATGTGCAGCTACATTCATGCATGATCACAGGGATGTGGTGAAATTGTTCTCATGTCTATCGTGCAGTGGC